AGAGAGAGAGAGAGAGAGAGAGAGAAAGAGAGAAAGAGAGAGAGAGAATTTAAATTTGATGTAAAAATAATGTGTAATTTTCACATGTATCTGAGACAGCGACGCTTTGACGTAAGCACGCCAGTGTGCATATGTGTGTGGGTTTTTTTGGTATTTGTGTGCGTATGTGTGTAGTGTTTGTGTGTATATGTATATCTGTGTATGTGTTTGTGAGTGTATGTGTATGTTTGTGAGTGTATGTGTGTGCGTGTGTGTGTGTGTGTTTGTGTGTATGTGTGTGTGCTCTTTTTCCAGTTAGTATAGGGCGAATAACTTGTGCGTGCATGTAGTAGGAATTTTTGTCCATTCTATGTCTTCAGTATTGTACAAAATAATATGTTCAACTATAGTCTGACCTGTACAAGCTATAGCTTTTAAAATAAAGAGAGATCTTTGATGAGCAAGTGAAACTGACGCACTGTTGGGAGTGTTGGTCAACCACTGCGCTATGTATAATGTTTATAAGTTATTTTTAAAATATTCCAAAATTCATGATTTTTTTCAAATTACAGAATCATATTATTTCTATCTCTGCTGAAAGTTGTGTTTATCCAATTTATGACATCACAGTTTCGTGCAGGTAGGTAAAAGCACGTTATATAGGCCAACTGTGCTCACAGCTTCTGTATTTCTACTGAGATGTGAACTAGCACAGTATCGCAACCACCAATTTGACCGTTTGTGTAAGAGTAAGAAAGAAGAGAGGAGGAGGGAGGGAGAAGTGGTTGAAAGAGAGGGGAATGTTCGGAAACGCTTGTTTTGAGCACATGTTAAGGATACGAACGCATAGCTGAGGGGAGAATGGAGAGGGACATGGGACATGGTGAATAAACGTCTGCTGGTTGGGCGTAATTGATGATGATGATGATGATGATGATGATGATGATGATGATGATGATGATGATGATGATGATGATGATGATGCCCGGACAGGGCAAAATGTCCAACAAATTTTTTAATAATGTCATAAAGATTTAGGAATGACCAGGTCGGCGCTTACTTTTTGTTTTTCTTTCAATGCTTGCAACGACAATGATGATGATGATGATGATGATGATGATGATGATGATGATGATGATGATGATGATGATGATGATGATGATGATGATGATGATGATGATGAAACCCTCATCACCATAATGTTTAAAGTAGTTCGACATATCGCCTGTCATATGCAAGTGTGTAACATTATTTTATTATCATAATATTATTTTCCCTTCTACGCATCTCTCCACAACGTCGTTTACAACACACCACGACGGTAAACCTACAATGACATACTTTTGAGTGCTAAGTGGTGCTGCAGATATACCACTTGTGAGTCCCAAGATAGAAGTGGGAAGCT